TGCAAATTCCGTTTTATGTTGTACAATTTAATAGGTAAAAAAGAAGAAGGCACAAGTTCTGCATTTAATGAATTATCCAGAAAATGCAAATGCCAAAATGGACCTGGCGGGATGACTGCTAGGATTTAACTGAGCCAGAGTCCGGGGCCCGGGGTATCTGAACGTGGATGCTGCCTGCCTGCTGCTGCTGCCTGCAATTGTTGTTTGTGTTTACTTAAGCGCTTGTCTCCTGCCTCTTTTGTGTGCCCTTTTCAATGTGGCACGTTCAGATCTCTCTGGCCCTGGACCCGGGACTGTGACTGGGACTGGGCCTGGTTTCGGTCCGGTCCCAGTCCCTGTCCCTGCCCCTGCCTAGACCTGGACTTGAGAGACTTGAGACCGTCGAGAGGCAGCGCAGCGCACTTAATCATATTCGATACAGATAAGCTTCAGTGCCGGTACGTGCATAGAATTTAAGCATACATAATAATCATCGACAGAGTGGGGAAGCAGTGGAAACAGAAACAGAAACCGACTCTAAACAGAACAGAACAGAACAGGACTGACGTACAATAACTAAAAATACGAAGCGTGTAGCTGGAAAAAGCATTATCATAAAGCAAATATACTCGTACATAGCAGATAGATATATATATGTATGTACTATATACATACATACTCGCAGAGAGGGAGAGAGAGAGACAAAACAGGGACAGTTTGGGAAGACTTGGGGATCAGAAACCCCGACCCAGACCGAACCATTTATAATTTCATACTATTATTATTCTTTACGTCTTTTGCGCCAAAGAAATTGCGGATTCAAAAGGCCAGTTCACAGTCCACAGTCGCCAGTCCACAGTCAGTTGCCAGTCAGTTCCCCCCTCCTTCAAGCAGTTGCCGAACAGCTTTTAAGTTCAAATTATGTTGCCGTATACCGTTGCCATAGAGTGCGGTTAAAAATTTGAACTTGGATGCCTCTGACGTTCAAGCCCCGCCCGACCCCTTGCTGCGGTTTCGAGGTTCGCTTCGCATCAGTCCGGTCCAGGCCCAGCCCCAGCCCAATCCGCAAAACCGCAGTCAAAAAGTATCTTTGTATCTGCGAGATTTGCGCCATTTGATCTTTGGCTGGCGGCGGCATGGCTTTTTTTTTGTTTTGCTGTGCGCAATTTTTTATTTTCGATATTTCTTATTTTTTATGCGCTGCCACTGCTGCTGCTGCTGCTGCTGCTGCTGCTGCTGCTGCTCTTTTGTCTCGGGTTTCCAGCATATGCTCCTGCCACTGTGGAACGTGAACCGAGCTGCAGATGGCCAAGAAGTCCAATCATCAGTCAGTGGCTGCAGCTGAGAGCCAGATACCTGACAGGGAGATACACACATAAATATGTATGTACATTGTACATACAGATGAGAGCGACAAAGTATGGGAATTAAGTAGCTGCGACCCGAAGACTGCAATTAATTCTGCGAGAAATCAATTAACAGAGCGTTGAGATGGTCATGAGAGCTGTGAGCTGAGCTGAGCCATTCGTCAGCTGGAGGGCGTGGCATGGAAATAAAGAGTTCTCAAGAAATTCGCTGATTGTGCGCTATGATTGATCAGGAAATTGTAGGTTCCACCACACAGCTGAACCATAATTCTTCAGTTGAGATTAATTCGGAATTATTTGATAAAATAACTCTGCAAGTAATTTTATACATTTTTGTGCATTCCGATATCGTTGAATAAATTAATATATTTCAGAGAGAATTAAGTATATTAAATTGTATTATTTCACTTTCTTATCTGGGTTTCTTGGAAGTTTCCTGCCCCATCCCCTTGGCTTACTCTCATTTTTCAGGGTTTCAATTTATGGAAACATTTGCCATTGGCGTTCGCCTAGCAACATCTGAGTCCGAACTGAGATTGTAATTTAGGAAACTGCGATAATTATCTCGAAAGAGAAGTTATCCGATGCTTGCGTAAATCATCGAATTTCAATTACTTTTTTTGTCTATTCAAAATAAATCAGATTCAGTCCCGAGCCTGTTTTCCAGCGCAGCCAACTGAAAACGAGATCTGGCCTCACTTCAAAAGGGAATGGAATTAATTATAAATTGCCGAGGCAACGAAACTGCCATATTCCAAACAAAATGTCGCTGACCTTCCCCCTGACCGACAAGACCCACTGAAATCTAATTAACAAGAACTATTTATATTGCCAAATGGAAATGCGAGACGTCCTCTCCGAGAGACAGAGAGACAGATTCCATGCCCGCAGTGAAGAGACATGGACTTGGAGAAGTGGAATTCCCAGTTTCACAGCATAAATCAACAGTAATCCGGGGCATCAAAATTATTAAAAATGAAATCAATGAAATGCGAAATATCAAAAGCGAAATGTAAATATAACAAGCGACCAGGGACCAGGGACCGGGTGGCAGGAGGCCCTTAGGAAAGCCTGACTGAAGAGGGTGACACTCGTTGAACGTGGCTGGGCAGGACGCAGGGCAGGGTGTTTGGCAAACGCTTAATTGGCATTAAGCACGTTAAGATGGGCAGGGGGGTCGGGGATTGTGACTGCGAATGGGTCTGGGATTCCCCTTATTTTTGGGGTGGCAAATGCTGTCAGGGCCAGCGAAGCGTTGCCAGTTGTAATTAGGACAACGGGAAACGGGCAACGGCCCACGGACAACGGACAACGGGACAAAGGACGAATAACACTGTGAGATGACGATTTAAAGCCTTGGTGCCTGAGTCAGCCGGTTATATTCTTTGGTCCTGCCACCACGTTCTGGCTATTTATTTAGGCACGTTATGCGCCCCTTGCCCTGAGCGCCCTGAGCGCCCTGAGCGGTGCTCTGTGCGGCAGCAAAGCCTTTAATGCTCTGGGTAAACAACGAAGCGATTTACGCACACGGATGCTGGCGCAGGAAACTAAGGAGACCTCACCCCAGCCCAGCCCAGCCCAGCCCGGGTTCCTGTCCTGTCACGTTGCATGCCACCAGAGTTGCTTAGATCCTCCTGCCGCTGCTGCTGCTGTCGCAGTTGCTGCTGCTGACGCTGACGCTGTTGTTATTATTGCAATTATTATAATTGCGCACACAGAAATCGACAGTTAGACAGGGGAAAGAAAAGTTCCATGTCCTCGTCAGAGCAGAGTCCTCGTGCTGGTCCTGGTCCTGGCTCTGCTCCGGGTCCTGGTCCTGGTCCTGCCCACACATAAATTGCACACAAAAAATATATAAAAACTAATTCACTTCTTGTGCTTCACATTGCTCGCTCGTTTCCTGTCCTGTCGTCAGCAGATTTGCATAACTTTTTCCAATTTCAAAGCTCAAGCTGTGGCCAAGGCATATGTATACATACATACATACATACTTATATATATATATATATATAAGGCACGCTCCCTGTATTCCCAGACCATCTCCGGTTACAGGCGTCGTCATCGTGGCGGCGCTGACGTTGCCAGGCTGCTTCTTATTTACGTCAATTGCTTGCGCATTCGTTGAAGCCAACACAAGCCAGGGGATAGGATAGGATAGGACAAGATGGAGGAGGACTAGATGGACTAGCGGAGTGCCAGAGGAAGACTAGCAGGGCTGGGCCAGAGGAGGACCATGGAAGAGCCAGAGGAAAACCAGCGGAGGACCAGTGGGAAGCCAGTGAATAACCAGCGAAGGAGAGGCCACCAGTAGGATGGATATGGCTATGGCTATGGCTATGGGTATCCCCCACACCACTTTGCTGCGAGAGTTTTCCGCTTTCCGCTTCCCCTTGCGTGGGCATTAGGTGTCAATTTTCAGCGTGGAAGTGAAATGCTTGCAAATCGCTGAAATTTGCCTGGCTGCCAATCCGCACGAGTGGGGGGAGGTATGGGAAATGTGGCAGAGAAACCACTGAATTTTCGCTTGAGGTCCACTTGGATTACCCATTTGATGGCAACACTTGGAGCGAGGTAGCTGCCACGCTGGGTGTTATTACACGTGCAAATGCAAATGGCCAAGTTAAATGGCATTTGAAGGTCGGGGAAATTGAAGTGCGTCAAGTACTCGTATTTGATGTGCTCTCTGGAACACTCTGCTTGCAAAGCAATAAATGATAACTTACATCCCAACTTACGAATGTCCCCTCCAAGCTTCCCTCATTCCCATAGTAATCATTTGATCCGGGAATGCGAACTATGCACAATTTCATAGATATAATGCCACATGAAACTGTCCTGGTTCCTGAACGATAAAGGGTCTTCGGGGAATCGTTATTTCCCATCCAATGTACACACATCCGTTCAATGGCTCGGGCCGAGAGTATAATACCATTTGATGAAGTATTATTTCAAATTCAGGCGTCATTATGCTCCATTCTTTGGCAACTTCAGCCACGCCACTCCGCTGCGGCATCATCCCTCGGAGAGGAAGGGAACGCCTACTCCGGTCCATTCGATTCGTGACCAATCAATAGTTCAATTCCAGTCGTGAAGGAACGAGGAAGGAGGAAAACTTCATCAGGCAAGTCATAAAATTTAATTAGAAAAGCATTTCTCCAGCGAGCGACTCAAAGTTGGAATACAAATACAAAAATCTCTTTTATTGTTTTATGGCTGAGCAAAAAGGAAATAAAATAAAAGGACTGATGGACAGGGGCAGGAGCAAGGGAGAGACAAGACCAAAGCCGAGTGGCGAGAGCCGAGAGCCGAGAACCATGGTCCTTCGTCTAGGGAACAATTTCAGACGAGTCAGACGAGCAGCAGCAGGTGCGAATGAACAGGACTCTTCCCTCATGCCTGATGTGGTTGTGGGGCGGGGGGCGAGAAAATCAATCGTGCTGAAAAATCAAAGGAAATATACATCCACACAGACCCATATAAAAAGATATGTATGTACGAGTACGGGTATATAAAGCTTTATATATTTTCCTTTCTTCTTAAGATTTTTTCCTTTTTTTTCGATTTTATTTCACAGCAAATTTGCGCGACGCGTTGAAATGTGGGCGTGACATTGCTCCCCCGCCGAAAACGCGTTTATCAAAGTCAGTTCCCGAGGGTTGCTCACCCACAAGAGGAGAGCGAGGAGAGGAGGGGAGTCGTCTGCGGCTCCTGCTGCCGCCATTCCCATCCTGTGCCCATTCTGGGCCCATCCCATACCCAGTCTAATGTGATACGCATCAATTTATGAAATTTGAAATATTATGACTGATTTTCGAGCATCCGAAATGTTCATGTGGGTTCTCCCTCTCGTTTCTGCCCGTGTCAGGCCTAATCCGGCTAACAGGTCGGAGACCAGCAGCGGAGGCGGGCCCGGGCCCAGACTCATACACAGACACGGACAAACGGCCGCAGCTTAGGTGAAAAATACTCACTGTGCAGCCGCGTACGAGGATATCATATAACTCCGCCCGGAGCCCGGAGCCCGCAGCCCGGAGTTCGGAGCTGTCGACTGGGCAAATTGGAGGAGTAACGACAACAAGGCGCTGCAACAAAGGCAATGAAATGAAGCGAGATTTCTATTTTTATGACGACACCAAATACCAAACACAATGGCGAGCGATTTAAAGTGAAGGTCTCTTCGCCCGACTGACAGCTCGGGGGGTTCCATCAGGGTTGATTGGTTTCAGCCGTCTTAAACGCAGGGCTCAGGCCAAACAGACCAGAATGGAAACGAGCACACATCAAGCCCCAGACAACCCAGACGATGGCACCAAACAATAACAGATGACAGCAAGTTCTACTATAACCCTGGGATCAGCACGAATGTACGAATATATGAATATTGGGCTCTCATTTGTGTATTTTCAGCTATCAACCAAGAGCCGAGAAGCCAAAGGAACCAAATTCCGAAGTGGCTAAGTCTTCTGCCTCTTTGTAACCTCCAGAAAGTGCGCTTTGGTGGCCATTCGGTGCGTCTTTCCATTCGGACTTCGCAGCAGATCTTCCACAATAATTGCTCCGGCATTCAACTGCTTATGCTTGGCCTCAATATGTTCCCTCACATAGTTCAGAACATCCTGAGCTAGTAGCTGGGTGCCAGGCTTCTTCACCACAGAGGCAGCGGCCTCATCGCCATTCACCTCAGCCCACACACCGAAGACACAGACCTCGGCCACGTTGGGCATCCGCGCGATCACTGTCTCTATTTCGCTGGGGTAGTACATGATGCTTTGGTACTTGAGCATGTCCTTCTTGCGGTCCACGAGATATAGAAAGCCGCCCGGGTCCATGTAGCCCAGATCGCCGGTGTGAAGCCACTGCTGAGAGTCGATCATGAGGCGCGTCTCCTCCGGATTCCCGTAGTAGCCCGACCAATGCTGGCCATTATTAAAACAAACTTCACCCATTTCAGTCGGACCCAGGGCCTCGCCCTCTTCATTGATTATCTTCACTTTGATTCCTCTTACCGGGCGGCCCACGGAGTTGGGTTTTTCGTCATAATGATGGTTCAAGCATCCCAGGCTGTTCATCTCCGTCAAGTTGTAGCTGAAGACCAGACAATCCGCCTGCCGAAGCCGACTCCGCATCCGCTGCTGCATCTCCACGGAGCAGCTAGTGCCTCCATAAACGTAGTGCCGAATGCTCGACAGATCAGATGCCTCGAACTCCGGACAGCTCACCAGCATGGCCAGTTGGGCAGGACTCTGCACCAGGAAGGTTATTCTGTGCTCCTCGATAATACGGCACAGAAAGGCAGGATCGAACTGGTTGTCGGCAATAATGCTTCTTGTGCTGAACACTCCAGCGTTGATGCAAACGGAGAGTCCCGAGAACCAGTCCAGGGTGCTGTGGGAGTACTGAACAACGTCGATCGTCATGGGACTACCCAGCGAATCAGAACATAAAGATACTCCAATCAGTTGGATCCAATTATTCGACTTACTTAACTTACGAGCAGCTCCACAGAATCTGCTGGCTGTTCGTGAAAGTGACTGCCTTGGGCACGCCCGTGGTCCCTGAGGAGCAGAGAATGGCCAGGGTCTGGTCGGGGCCCTGCTCCAGCTGGGAGGGCTGGAAGTTATCCTCAATGGGTGTGGTCAGGATATCCTGAATGCGAAGGCAGCCCAACGAGTGATGCCGCATGCTAATGATTGTGGAGTCCAGCTGGAGGGTTTCGGTGGCTGCCAGCACTCTCTCGTACTCGTCCCCGTCGCAGAAGATCAGACGGGGTCTGGTGATTCTGAACAGCTTCTCTATGGTCTCCTGCTCGTAGGAGATGTTGAGGGAGTGGAACGGCACACCGTTGAAGAAGCAGGCATAGGCCACGGCCACCAGATGCGTGGTGTTCCTGGCCATGAGGCCCACAATATCCGTTTGCTTTAGGCCCAGTCCCCGCATGTAGCTAGCCACTCGCATCGCATTGAAACGCACCTCCTCACGGGTCAGCGCCGTCTTCTCAGTGGCTGATATCTGGAAGGGATTTGTTGACATTTGAATTGTTTTCCTCGTTTAATGAACTAAACAGCATGCGAGGGAGTACCTGTGCTATGAGCTGTGGGTGCCTTTCCATCTCCCGGAATATGATCTGCCCAATGGAGAGATGAGGTGCGAAGTAGTTTGATCTTTCGCCTCCACTCCACACTTTGAGCTTGTCATCGTAGGTGATGTGCGGATAGAAGGGCATTCTGTGGTCTATCAGTTATCGGTATAGCATTTAAACTGTTTGCATATCGTGCTTGAGGTCCGTTTTATAGAGTATTCGGCCTGACAGCCGAAGAATATAACAAATTAGAGTGGAAAAAAAGCTTTACCCCCTTTGTGGGAACTGATGAGCGTCGCGGGGGGCCTGGTTTAGCCGGTGTATTTTTGCATACCTTCACACAGTCGCTTGGATAATGGGATTCAAGCTTTTCGACATTCTCCCACGTTGAGGCTATTCCGGTGATCACTGAAATTCCCCGTACCGGGCACACGTGTAGTGTGAGGCAGGGCCATGTATAATGTTTTCTTTCCCAGGATTTCGGAGTATTTGCACCCGCAATCAAATTTACTACGTGCTATAATTGAGAACTTATCGTTTCTCTGACCCCGAGTTCAGTCGTCGCTTCTATAAGAGGAGGCCAGCAGCCACGAATCGCAAACACTTTGAAACTTTGCCGATAAGTGATAGACCTCATAATGCCGTTCTATCCGCAAATAACCTACGATGACAATCTCAAAGTGTGGAGTGGAGGCGAAAAATCAAACTACTTCGCACCTCATCTCTCCATTGGGCAGATCATATTCCGGGAGATGGAAAGGCACCCAAAGCTCATAGCACAGGTACTCACTCGCATGCTGTGTAGTTCATTAAACGAGGAATACAATTCAAATGTCAACCAATCACTTCCAGATATCAGCCACTGAGAAGACGGTGCTGACCCGTGAGGAGGTGCGTTTCAATGCGATGCGAGTGGCTAGCTACATGCGGGGACTGGGCCTAAAGCAAACGGATATTGTGGGCCTCATGGCCAGGAACACCACGCATCTGGTGGCCGTGGCCTATGCCTGCTTCTTCAACGGTGTGCCGTTCCACTCCCTCAACATCTCCTACGAGCAGGAGACCATAGAGAAGCTGTTCAGAATCACCAGACCCCGTCTGATCTTCTGCGACGGGGATGAGTACGAGAGAGTGCTGGCAGCCGCCGAAACCCTCCAGCTGGACTCCACAATAATTAGCATGCGGCATCACCCGTTCGGCTGCCTTCGTATTCAGGATATCCTGACCACACCCATTGAGGATAACTTCCAGCCCTCCCAGCTGGAGCAGGGCCCCGACCAGACCCTGGCCATTCTCTGCTCCTCAGGGACCACGGGCGTGCCCAAGGCAGTCACGATTACGAACAGTCAACAGGTTCTTTTGACCTTTTTGTATGTAGAAAATAACTAACTAATTCCTTATATATGTCTCGTCTCCAATATATTTATTGTTCTTCCCAGTCGTCTGACCTCCAATGATGTGCAATATACGCACAGCACCCTAGACTGGATTTCGGGACTCATAACCATCATTAGCGCTGGGGTATTCAGCACTACGAGCATTATAGCCGACAATGTTTTCGATCCTGCGTGCATGTGTCGTATGATCGAGGAGTACAAGATCACATTCATCTTTCAGTGTCCCTCGCATATGGCCATGCTGGCCAACTGTCCGGAATTCGAGTCATCCGATCTGTCAAGCATTCGGTTCTACATTTATGGCGGATCCAACTGTTCCTTGGAGGTTCAGAGCCGTATTCGAAGTCGCCTAAGCCACGACTGCCTGCACTTTGCGTACGCGGTGACGGAGCTGAACAGCGTGGGCTGCACAAACCTCCACTTTGACGAGAAACCCAACTCCGTGGGCCGGCCGATAAGGGGAATCAGTCTGAAGATAATCAATGCACAGGGCGAGGCCCTAGGACCAAATGAAACGGGTCAAGTCTGCTTCCATAATGGTCAGAATTGGTCGGGGTACTACGGGAACCCAGAAGAGACTCGCATAGTGAGGGACTCCCAGAAGTGGCTGCACACTGGAGATCTGGGGTATATGGACGGTGATGGCTTCCTGTACATAATCGATCGGCAAAAGGACATGCTCAAGTACCACAACATCATGTACTATCCCAGCGAGATAGAGACAGTGATCTCCCAGATGCCTAACGTGGCCGAGGTCTGTGTCTTCGGCGTTTGGGATGCAGTCAATGGCGATGAGGCTGCCGCGTCTGTGGTGAAGCGGCATGGCTCCGCTCTGCACGCCCAGGATGTTGTGGACTACGTAAACGAGTCCATCGATGCCAATTACAAGAAACTGAACGCAGGAGCCATCATTGTGGACGATCTGAAACGCAGTGCCAATGGAAAAACCAATCGACATGCAACCAGAGCTCACTTCCTGGAAGTCACCACCAGGAGACGTTCGGAGAACATGAGATACAGTGATCGATCGGAACAGTGCTAATTATACCCGTACTCAAAAAAGAGTTAAGGGGTATATTAGATTTGTGGTAAAAGTGGATGTGTGTAACGCAGAGAAGGAAACGTTTCCGACCCCATAAAGTATATATATTCTTGATCAGCATCAATAGCCGAGTCGATATAGCCATGTCTGTCTGTCTGTCTGTCTGTCTCGATGAGCGCCTAGATCTCAGAGACTATAAGAGCTAGGGCAACCAAATTTGGTTTCCAGACTCATGTGATATTCCACTGCTACAAACACTGCTGTATTTCAAAATTTCGCCCCGCCCCCTTCCGCCACCGCAAAGGACGAAAATCTGTGGCAGGCACAATTTTCAATATACGCTAAAACTAAAAACGCAGTATCGTAGAGAATGCCCATATCTACCAGACTGCTGAATCTGAATCAGATCGGATCATAATTATAGCCAGAATGAAGAAATGAATTTTCAGTAGCTTCCTCTGCCCCTCCTGCCAACAACCAAGCAACTCATTTTCCTTCTCGCTCGCACACCCCTAGCGGAGGAGATGTAGAATATACATAATACATGTAGATGTAGATAACAGATGTAGCAAACAAATGTAAAATGTAAAATTTTTTTTTTTTAATTCTAAAGTTCTAAAAAATCATATGCTCAAAAATGTATATGCTGACTGAGTACGGGTATAAGTAGAGTAGCTTCCCCAGAAGCGACTCACACGTTCCTTCTCGTTTTTATTTGTAATTTGGGCTTACGTATCTTAAATGATTTTAGATAATAAATAAAAATTATAAATCTTTAAAGGACAGAAACAAAACCCAATACTATAATAAGTATGATTAAAAATCCCTAAGATACTTCAGTTAGAGTACTTTAGTATTGCGATAGATATATGGCAACAGAATTTCAGGTAATACAATTTATAGAGAAGGTTTAATCCTTAATTTCCAGAGTCCACCTCTAGGTTGAGAATATCGAAATAATATTTCACACATTAAGAATATTTTTACTCGCTACTTAAAGAGTATGGAGCTATATATATTAGTCGATTTTCTGATACGATAAAGTATATATATTATTGATCATTCCGTCTTGTTTAACTCCTGCTTCCCAGAGACTAGCAGCTAGAGCAATCAAATTTTGTTTGCAGACTGTAATATGCCTGAGATATCATACTGAAACAAGTGTACCAATAATTGTACCATTGTTCCTCTCTCTGTCTCTATGTTTCACACTTTTCGCCGTACAGTGCGCGCCTTTTGGCGGTGAGTGTGTGTTATATAATTGCCTATTGGTGGAAATAGAGAGAGATATACATATGTACATACACTGATAGAAAAAAGGCATAGTAAAAATATCTACAATCATATTTGAATTTAAAATGCCATTTTTAAATACAAACATAGTAAAATTTAATAGAATTCACTTTGATTCAAATATAAATGTATTCAAAATGCTTTTTTAATACGGTCATATTTAACTAAATACAAAACACTCAAAATAACTAAAATATATTAAATTTGTAGTTTAATATGTTTCATATTTAAATTGAATATTATTATGACATGATTTCAAAATTTTTCTTTTAAAATCCAAAGGAAAAACTTTTTATTTTAAATATTCCATATTAAATGAAATCAAATATTTTTTGTATTTATTTAACTATGTTTATATTATTTTTTTATGTCCCTCGAATTCCCAACTGGTTCCAGCTGCTGCCGCCTTGAATGCACAGTAAAATTACTTAGCGCAGGGGCTAATCACAACCAATGCAGCGATTCGATTATTTCTAGTTGAAAACTTTAACCAATTCACACCATGAGGACTTGAAATGTAATTTGCGTACGCAAAATAATAACCAATACGTTAAAAATGAATATAAATATGAAAAGTACTCATATTGCGATTATTTCTAGTTGAAAACTTTAACCAATTCACACCATGAGGACTTGAAATGTAATTTGCGTACGCAAAATAATAACCAATTGTTAAAAGGAATATAAATATAAATATGAAACATATTAGATTAAATATTAAACATATTAAATTAAATATGAAGCATATTAACATTAAATATGAAACATATTAAATTTGAATATAAAACATATTAAAGTTAAATATGAAAAATATTTAATTTAAATATGAAATATATTAAATTTAAATTTAAGTGAAAAATATTCAATTTTAATACAACCACCTTGGATGAAAATCAATGGCATAAATATTAAAACTAAGTGAAAATATTAAAATTTCAGGGCTTTTTTCTATCGGTGTAGGTATATATATATATTCATCGGATGGTGGGATATTAAAACAGCTGGAACCTAGAACATTAGGTAGAATTTGTGAAAATATGGCATGGAAATTGCAATTCAGTTAATTTTTTCGATTGTAAATGGAACCCTGTCTGAAAACAATTCGTGGCTTTCATTTTATCGACCTCTTTAGTGGCCTTTAGCGGCAATTAATAATTTTTGTAAGTTTTACGTCGAGGGATTATGGGCCAACAAAAAGATAGAGAGAGAAAGAACGCTCAAAGTGTATGTTTTTTCTGTAAAAACTTTATCCTCTATGATGGTGTTCAAAAACAAACTAAGAATCCACTGCCAACACTATATCTCGTATATATTTGATAGTTTAACAACACTGAAACGTTTTGCAGCATTTTTTTTTCGCAGTGAATCGGCACTTTTCAGCAGAAGCAGAAGGGCAGGTGTCCGATAAGAAGAAAAGAGCATAAAACCGAATTGGAATTAAAGAGGAAAGAGAAAAATACGCCCTAGAGTGCTACTCCCATCAGTCAATCTCTGAGGTGTAAGTAAATATTACATCCCATTGGCTTTAATCTGGACAGAAAAAAGAACACAATTTTCACAGAATTTCCCTTTTAGTTTTGTTCTGTCCCCAAATGTCCCTGTCAAAATTGAAGCAGCAGGAAATGGATTTATCCAACGGAAACGTGATGGAGTTGCGTCCAATAAAGAAAATTTCAGGAGGCAAGATCGATGCAGCCGCCCTCAAGGAGCGCAGCAAAGGCCGCAAATATGAGGAGCCAAAGGCCCCAATGATCAGCCGCTGGAAGCCCATTGATGACCTGTCCCTGTTGACGGCCATGGATCGGGTGAATGACCTCAAGATTGTGCATCGTGTCTGCAAATTCTCGTGCATGTTCTCGCTGAAGGAGGTGCATCAGCGGTGGCAGGCGCTCCTCTACTCGCCCATGGATTCGCAGACGGCCATGTCGGCCATCGAGAATCTACACCCGGAGACGGCGGCCGCCGTTAGGGCCCAGACGATACTCAGTCCCGAGGAGGAGAATATCATCATGACCATCAAGAGCACGGAAGAGCCCACTCTGGCGCAGTTTCAGGAGCTGCTCGATCAGAATGCGGCCATCTTTTTGCGCGAACGCACCGCCCACTATCTGCACATTTACTGGCGGGATCTCTGCAAGTATATGCTGCTGCCCGATCAGGTGATTCCGGCGGGCGCAGAGGTGCCCTATATGCAGAGCTTCTCCGAGGCCGAGGCGGATGCTTTCCATGTCGATGTCAATGAGCCCGTCGACGAGGCCCTGGAGGCCGAGCTGGAGCTTCAGAATCGTCGCAACAAGCGCTACATTCGTCTGCTGGAGAACGAAATATCCCGTATGTCCGTCCTGGTGGACTGTGGCCGTGGTCCCCGCGAGCTGGACAACAATACGATTGCCTGTCTGTGCGGCCATCGGGTGCGCTTTCTGATGCAACATCAGGAGATTAACTTTGGGCGCGACGGCAAGGAAGGTTCCGACTGGAAGGTGGATGTGAACCTGGCACTGGAGGGTCCTGCCGAGAAGGTGTCCCGTCTCCAGGGCACCATTAAGCTGCGCAACGATGGCATCATCTTCATTGCCAATGCGGGCAAGCGGGACATCTTTGTGCAGGGCGAACCCCTGCTGACGGGCCAAAAGACACGGCTCGAGGACAACATGTTGGTGGAGATATGCGGCCTGACCTTCACGTTTATGATTAACCCCGACGCCATCGATGCCGTCCGCACACAGTGCGCCAAGACATCGGAACCATTGAAGTAATCTGTCATCGATACAGAATCTGATCTGAAACAGAGAGCCAAGTACGGAAGAGCAGGCTTAATCGTGCGAGTACCTGTAATAATCATAGATTTTTAATTAACGAAAATACACGATATGAAAATGTTTGCTACGTGAATATTCCCTGGAAAATGTACGAAAATCGTACGACTAGAGGGGTGCATATAGTCGAGTGCCATATGTGCTTTGTTCGTTCAGTGCAAAATCGGCACGAAAAAGCACGATGAATAATTTATTCGCGCAAGAAACAAACAGACGATCAGATGTTCCGTCCAAGCGAATCGTAAATCGTAATCGCAAGCCGGACCCGCTTTTGGAATGCATTGGAATGCATTGTTGAAGTTGAATAAAAATATGATCTAACAAAAATTACCTATAATATGTCGTGTACATTGATAGAAATAAGGCATAGTAAAAATGGCAAGACTCATATTTTAATTTGATATGTGATTTTTAAATACAAACTTAGTAAAATTAAATAGAATTCACTTTAATTCAAATATAAATGTATTAAAAAGGATTTTTAATTAATATTTGATTTTAATACAAAACACTTTAAAATAACTATAACATATTAAATTTGTAGTTTAATATGTTTCATATTCATATGGAATATTATTATGACTAAATTTGAACATTTTTATTTTGAATATTAAATGCAATTAAATCTTTTTCGTATTTGTTTATATTTATGTTTATATGTTTTATGTTTATATTTATTTTGTATGTCCTTCGAATTCCCAGCTGGTTCAAGCTGCTGTCGCTTTCAATACAAGTGTCAGGAGCAGTGAACTTATCTTTGCGCAGGGGCAATATCACAACCAATTCAGTTTTACTTAGGTTGAGATTATTTCTAGTTGAAAACTTTAACTAATTCATTTAAACATAAAACATATTCCCTTCTAATATGAAATATTTTTAAAATAAATATGAAACATATTCAATTTAAATATGAAATATACTAAATTTAAATATAAAATATATTAGATTTAAGTATAAAATACATTAAATTTAAATATAAAATATATTAATTCAAATATTTCCATATTTATATCAAAATTTAAGTGAAAAATATTCAATTTTAACAAAACCACTCTTGGATTAAAATCAATGGCCTAAATATTAAAATCTAAGTGAAAATATTAAAATTTCAGGGATCTTTTCCATGGGTGTACTTAAACCTTACTTAAACGGGCGTGTTAGTGCTTGTTGGATATTTTCATTTTCGTGCCGAGTTGGGTCGTGTCCATTCCCTTCATTCACCCATTCACCCTCTCCCTTTCTGCATACTTTGGGGGGCTACTTGGAACTATCATTAGCGTCCGTGCATCACCATCATCTTTTGGCTTCCTCTTGGCTTCTTATACCCGTACTCAAAAAAGAGTTAAGGGGTATATTAGATTTGTGGTAAAAGTGGATGTGTGCAACGCAGAGAAGGAAACGTTTCCGACCCCATAAAGTATATATATTCTTGATCAGCATCAATAGCCGAGTCGATATAGCCATGTCCGTCTGTCCGTCCGTCTGTCCGTCTGTCCGTCTTGATGAGCGCCTAGATCTGAGAGACTATAAGAGCTAGATAAACCAAATTTGGTTTCCAGACTCATGTGATATCACACTGCTACAAGTGTATTTCAAAATTTCGCCCCGCCCCCTTCCGCCCCCACAAAGGACGAAAATCTGTGGCAGGCACATTTTTAAAGATACGATAAAACTGAAAGCGCAGTATCGTAGAGAATGACCATATCTATCAGATTCCCGAATCTGAATCAGATCGGATTATAATTATAGCCAGAATGAAGAAATTTTCAGTTGCTTCCCCCCGCCCCTTCCGGCAAACAACAACGCAACTCATTTTCCTTCTCGCTCGCACACTCTGCCGCGTTCAGTGCGCGAGCAACCCCTAGCGGAGGAGATGTAGAATATAAATGGTACATGTACAATCTACATGTTAGATGTGGAATATACATTGTAGATGTAGATAACAGATGTAGCAAAAAAATGTAAAATGTAAAATTTTTTTTTTAATTCTAAAAAATTATAAGCTCAAAAATGTATATACTGACTTAGTACGGGTATAAGTAGAGTCGCGTCCCCAGAAGCGACTCACACGTATCTTCTTGTTTTTCTTTGGTTCTTTCTTATTTTACCCCATCACCGTTCTGTCTTCTCTCATTAGAAGTACAAGAAAAATTTATAGATATGCGCAGTCCGCTTTGATAATGTTTTCATTGTTTTTTCGAATGATTTCCGACTTAAGGAAAAGGCTGAATTTGGGACTTAAAGCCTTTTGATCTTCTGAACATTCAGAAAGTGGTCCTTGTTGGCGCGTCGATTCGTTTTGCCATTCCCACTTCGCTTTAGATCATCTACAATGATGACTCCAGCGTGTAATTCTTTATACTTGGCACCGATGTGTTCCTTTACAAAGTCCGAAACGTCCTGGGCGACCAGATTGGTGCCGTGCCTCTTCACCACACAAGCTGCGGCCTCATCGCCATTGACTGCATTCCAAACGCCGAAGACACAGACCTCGGCCACGTTAGGCATCTGGGAGATGACTGTCTCTATCTCGTTGGGATAGTACATGATGTTGTGGTACTTGAGCATGTCCTTTCTGCGGTCCTCTATAAAGAGGAAGCCATCTTCATCCACGTAGCCCACATCTCCGGTGTGAAACCACTGCTGAGAGTCGCGAATTAAACGCGTCTCCTCTGGATTGCCATAGTAGCCAGCCCAATGCTGGCCGTTGAACAGGCACACTTCACCCACTTCGTGTGGGCCCAGAGCCACACCCTCTTCATTGATTACCTTGATCTTATTGCCAGCGACTGGGCGACCCACTGAGTTGGGCTTTTCATCAAAGTGAAGGTTCAAGGTGCCAGTGCCGTTCAGCTCTGTTATGGAGTAGCTAAAGATCAGACCTCCCTGGAGGCGGCTACGGACACGCTTCTGAACATCCAGGGAGCAGCGGGAGCCCCCAAAAATGTAATGCTCAATGCTCGACAGATCAGCGTCTTCGAATTCCGGACAGTTGGCCAGCATTGCCATGTGGGAGGGACACTGAAAGACTAGCCCGATCTTGTACTCTGGGACCATACGACACATGAAGGCGGGAGCAAAGTCATTGTCAGCTATTATATTTGTAGTGCTGAACACTCCAGCGTTGATGATGGAGGAAAGGCCCGAAAACCAATCCAGGGTGCTGTGCGTGTACTGAACCACATTGGTGGTCACGAGGCTGCGAGAGGAGACTGTCAATAGTAGGAACCAGGATGGATCAAGCATTCTGATGGACTTACAAGCCGGGGAAGATGCAATTCTGACTGTTGGTTGCAGTCACCGCCTTGGGCACGCCCGTGGTCCCTGAGGAGCAGAGAATGGCCAAGGTCTGGTTGGGGCCCTGCTCCAGCTGGGAGGGCTGGAAGTTATCCTCAATGGGTGTGGTCAGGATATCCTGAATACGAAGGCAGCCGAACGGGTGATGCCGCATGCTAATTATTGTGGAGTCCAGCTGGAGGGTTTCGGCGGCTGCCAGCACTCTCTCGTACTCATCCCCGTCGCAGAAGATCAGACGGGGTCTGGTGATTCTGAACAGCTTCTCTATGGTCTCCTGCTCGTAGGAGATGTTGAGGGAGTGGAACGGCACACCGTTGAAGAAGCAGGCATAGGCCACGGCCACCAGGTGCGTTGTGTTCCTGGCCATGAGGCCCACTATATCCGTTTGCTTTAGGCCCAGTTCCCGCATGTAGCTAGCCACTCGCATCGCATTGAAACGCACCTCCTCACGGGTCAGCACCGTCTTCTCAGTGGCTGATATCTGGAAGGGATTGGTTGATATTTTAATTGTTTTCCTCGTTTGATTAATTAAACAGCATGCGAGTGAGTACCTGTGCTATGAGCTTTGGGTGCCTTTCCATCTCCCGGAATATGATCTGCCCAATGGAGAGATGGGGTGCGAAGTAGTTTGATTTTTCGCCTCCACTCCACACTTTGAGATTGTCATCGTAGGTGATTTGCGGCTCGTACTGCATTCTCCAAGCGGTTAGTTTCAACTGTTGGCAATTTGTGCTCGCGATCCCATTTATAGAGCTGATATACCACAAGTAGTAGAATTTGGAAAGGCAGGCGACGAATCTTTTATGCGAATCTATATTTAAGTACACATAAGAATCGAAACAAGAATAATAATTATATAATATAACAATACAATAATAATAATAATAATACCCAATAAGAATCGGGTAGGGGTCTGACCGGGCTCTAGAGTTAAGTCCTAGTAATCTTTTGATCTGGATTCAGTTAAGATATACCCTTGCTCTTTACAATTACTGGGTGTATAAATATTCCATAAATATATTGAAATTCAGAGGCTAAAGAACGTGTCGAAATGTTATTATATTATTTTCTATTACGTAGCCGAAAAAAACACTGTCCAACATAAATACTTTTCTTTGGCAACAGACTGATTTTTATAATTTTTTGGTTTTTCGAATGTTGCCTTGTTTTTTTTTTTTAGCAAGAGAAGAGATTTTTAATTTTTAATTTTTTAACAGGTGCAGATGTGTGGCAACCCGGATCGCGGCCCCTGGGGGCCAGCAACAACCTCGAGACGAGATGGCAGCTCCAGCAACGGTCTCTCGACAAGTTAGCAGCTTCAGCAACTACGACGACACGCGACAGACATTGTAATCAAATATTAAGATAGGTTATACTAAACGACAGATAGAGCGTACATTGGCCAAGCCGCCAAAGTGGTGACCCCTACGTTAAAAACACGGCGCAAAACAGCACTATTTTTGCGTTCTTCGACCAAAAGCAAACCGGCAGAAGACGACAAGTTCTACGACGCAATAAACATGGCGAACACGGAGGCCACACTAAACGGTTAAGAGAGCAACTGCAGCAACTTCAACTAGTAAACGCACAGCCACAGCTGCAACTCAAAACTTAGCTCAAATCGTCATCCCAAAATTCAACAAACGAATCCGACACTTTGGTTCGCGCAACTAGAGCGCCCCTTAGTTTACACAATGTGGTGCGCGACGACAACAGTTTGACCTGGTGTCAGTACAACTGGAGGAAGATGCAGCCCGTGCAACGGATCTCATACTCGGCCACCTACTGACAACAAGTACGACGCAATGAAGCGTCGGCTGCTCGAAACTTTTGGCGATCAGGGATCGAAATGAGACGACTCCTCCGGGGTGGCGACATGACTGGGAAGAAGCCGTCGGAGACTTGACTCACTTGCGTCGCTTAGCACCTGCTAGTGGGTGCGAAGCCGTAATCGAAACCTTTTCTTCACTGAGTTACCTTCGTCGATTCGCCCACCCTTTCGGTTTGGGAGGGAACGACCTGGACAAGCTGGCAGTTGCCGACAGAGGAACAGCGCTATCGACTCAATAGGTGTTATGTCGACTTAACCCAAGCCCGCTGAGCAAAGGCAGCACAGCGTGGAGTCGGTAAGTAGCAACAATCCAAATTTAAAGACGTTGCTGCGCCTGCACATTCTAACGCAGAAGGTTTAAAGCTACAAGCGATTCCAGTCGACGATTATATCCAAGTCATCAGACCGGGTTTTCCTGATTCGGATTAATGGAAAGGAGACAGCCATTTCAATCGACCGGCTTAAGCCAGCATTTATAGCAAACGACGAGACCAGCCCTACGGAAGATCAGCAGTCGAATGTGCCGCGGACATATGCAGAAATCAAACCTAAAGATTGGCACTTCTAGGGGGAGTACTGTGGCAACCCGGACGCGGCCCTCTGGCAGGGCCAGCAACAACCTCGGACGGATGGCAGCTCCAGCAACGGTCTCTCGACAAGTTAGCAGCTTCAGCAACTACGACGACACGCGACAAGACATTGTAATCAAATATTAAGAAATAAAGAGTTATACTAAACGACAGATAGAGCGTACATTGGCCAAGCCGCCAAAGATGAGCAACAAGCAGCGCCATCTGTGCTTCGTTTCACCAGCATCCAGCTTGTGTCAGCGAATGGGTAGTAATAATGGTAGTATTTTGATTTTGTACTTTACCCCCTTTACAGCACTAATCGCTGCTTAAACACAGAGGCACTTTTGAGTGATTCCGTTCAATTATACCGCAAAATATCGTGTTGAAATAGAGCTAAGACTGTTTATATACATAAAATATGCATATTAAAATTAGGTTACTGCCGCCAGTGCATACCTGGATAACTACAGAAAGATGGAAATAATGTCCAATCAGTTGTTAGGCTCGAAAATTAAATGACCTTGTGGGCCACATAAAGGGCCAGACAAGCCAAAATCAAAATGAACTTCTTTCTAAAAAAAAGACTCGGATCGAATGTTCGCTTTAAACTATTAAATCGATCGGGTTCTGGGGCTTATATAGGATCGATTTTCTGACATTAAATGGCATTTCACCAGTTAATCAAAAACAACTCCACAACAGTCTGACCCCTATTGTGAGTGGTACCAACAATGGGGTTGCCTTTTCTGGATAGCAATAGAGTAAAGCGATACAATCGATATCGCCCTATACAGCTATAAATAGATGCGTCTTTTATGCCCACTTGTAATCCAATATGGAATATGTGTAATCCAATTGAAAATAATGAAATGCCCCTAGCAGGGACAATGAAAAAGTTGCCTTCTTCAGTTTCTTTAATAATTCTATATTGAACGATCAGGGATCGTATCTGTAGCGGAAACCAAGGCGTAGATAAAGGTTTTAACATGCATCTCAAAAGTATACAATAATTTCAGCTTGATTTATTTCTTATGTGGAGATGGGAAGCTGATTGGGTCTCAGTCGCAGGATAACTGAAAGTTATCCAGGTGCAGTGTGAATGTAACAAACTATCAATATTAAGCTATATAGATGAAAACTGGATGGATTATCCTTCTCAAGTGTTTCTAATTGGTCCATTCCAGCCGTATAAAAACACCTGTCAACTAAGATACCTCTTCATCGACAGACTGGTGTTAAAATTTTTTAGTTTTTCGACTGTTATAAAATACAAATTAGGAACAATTTTTTTTTGTAGCAAAAGAACAGATTTAAATTTTTTTAAACAAATGAGCAACAAACAGCGCCATCTATGCTTTGTGTTCGCAGCAGCCAGCAGCAGCTTTGTGTCTGCATGCAAGCAAAAACGATTTTTTTTATACTATTTCTAGTATTTTTGAGTATTTTCAAACTGTTGCCAAAGTCCTAGCAGCATGCTGTTAGCAACTGAACATGTCGCCAATGTCATAACAGCATGTTGCCAACAACTTAACATGTTGCCAAAGTACTTGCAGCATGTGTCTGCAGCAAACTTTACAGATTTAAAATCTATCGCTATGGCGATAAATGCCGCCCATCTCTAGTTGAGAAAGACGTAGTGAATACGGTCACACTGCGACGCCTTGCTCGTCGCACGAACTAGCTCAAGTTCCTTTGAGAACTGAACAATTGCAGAGTTCCATAAACAGGCGCAGCGGGAATATGGCGCCACGGAGCATGTTGCTGGCAACATCAAAGTCCTAGCAGCAACAGCCTGCCAACAACATAAAATGGATATTAATGTATATAATAATGGATATTATGGAATCTACTCAGTCTCTGTTTTAAAGATATTAACGAAATTTTGCAGCTCACTGGTACCAATAATAGGTATCAGAACCGGGATAAATGTATTTATAAAACACAAAATATTTGCATTAATAGGTAAAAAAACATGTCAATCTACGATAAAATGATTATTAATGTTGCAATGGAGCTTGAAGAAACTTGGTTGACCAGCAACACTGACGTTACATTTAGTCAACATTTACGTTTTATGCTTTGGCCGTTTTTGTTTGAACCTTTTTATGTAAACAATGCAATACAATAGAGTTCTAAAAACTAGCCAATGCTGAACAAAATTGATTGAGGAATCGGATAAAATTATTTGTTTAGGGCTGAGAGGGCCAACTGGCTAGTAATATTAAACTGAATATCAAAATCATGGAATACGATTTCAATCAATAAAATAGAACGTTATCCCATTGTCGACCAGGGGGGTATTTATTATATCCACAAAATTTATGTAACTTTAACTTATTTTACGCATTACAAGTGAAAGATGTCGGTGGTCATTTTTGTTTTTTAAGTAAATAGGAAAATGCAGCTACAAGAAGCCTTTACAAACAGTATTCTTTTCCGCGGTTTAACAATGGGTGCTCAATGTTTTAAATAGAGGTGTGTTAAGTGGGTTAAGTTCGTTTGTTATCGTTATCGGCACGGTCGTCTATTGAAAGAAATTGCTAATTTTTATTAACAAAATAAAATACGATGCATGGCCGTGTGAAAGTGCGCACCACGGAGGAGGAGCGGGAGCGCAAGAAGAAGGAACACGCGCTGAAGGTGCGGGCCTACCGGGCGGCCATGGGACGGATACTCAAGAAACGCGATGCAGGAGAACTGGATGACGAAATGCTCGGCCTGACGGTGCAAATCCTGCAACGCAATCCGGACGTGAGCACGCTGTGGAACATTCGTCGGGAGTGTGTGCTGGCGAAGACCAAGCAGCTGTCAGATGCAGGGGCAGAGTCCAACAAGTCCGACGAGGTGCAGGTGGAAGCGGAAGCAGAAGCAGTGGCAGAGGTGGTGGAGAAGCCTGTGGAACGGGAAGATAAGCTGCAAGCAGTGTACGACCAGGAACTGACCCTCACCGAACAGTGTCTGATGGTCAATCCGAAGTCATACAATGCCTGGCACCATCGCTGCTGGACCCTGGAGCAGAATCCGCAGGCAGACTGGCAGCGAGAGGTGCAGCTCTGCAACAAGTATCTGAAGTACGATGAGCGAAACTTCCACACCTGGGACTACCGGCGCTATGTGAGCGCCAAGGCGGCCGTGCCTGCCGAGCAGGAGCTGGACTTTTGCACCGAGAAGATCAAGGTTAACTTTTCCAACTATTCCAGCTGGCATCACCGCAGCCTCCTGCTGCCGAAGCTCTACCCCAATGAGCAGCGCGACCGGCCCATGAGCGAGGAGAAGCTGCAGCAGGAGCTGGAGATGGTGCTCACCGCCGCCTTCACCGATCCCAACGACAGCAGCGCCTGGTTCTATCAGCGCTGGCTGCTGGGCGGCGGTGTCCAAGTGGATCAGGCCCCCAAGGTGGTTGCCTTCCGCGTGGGAGCGACTGGTGCAGTCGTAGCATTTAACAAACCCTGCCCAGACTTTGAACAGTTCAGGGTTGAGCTTGCCAGCAACGAGCACACATGGCAGTTGCAGTCCTGGCAGCCTGCGGACAGCAGCAGAACCACCTGGAAAACCCAGACATCGATCGACTACCACAAGGAAAGGTCCTACTCGCTGAAGCTGTCAGAGCAGGAGATCAAACTCTTGCCTCTGGCCACTGGCGATGGTGCCTTCTACTTTGTGCCCCCCAATGCTGCCTCCAGCTGCAGCAAGGAGCTGTTCGAGGAACTCCAGACGCAGCTGCAGTCCTGCTTCGATCTCCTGGAGTACGAGCCCGATAGCAAGTGGACCCTCCTGACCAGTGCCCTCCTAATGCGAGCCATCGATGTTACTGCCAATCACGAAAGAAGCCTGGACCACTTGGTGCAGCTGGAGAAGTTTGATGGCCTGCGGGCGGGCTACTACAAGGATTTGGCTGCATGCTGGACCCTGGAATTAGAGCTGGCCAAGTGGGTCACATCTGCAACGTTTCCCAAACGCTTTGAGCTAGCAGCGGAGTCAGCATTGACTGCGTTGCCTTATGGCCAATATCTGGCAATTGCTGACGAACTGGAGCTGCCCGCAGCACTCAAGGAGGAACTAGGCGATCGATTGCCCCAAACGTTTGCAGAGTTGAAATTGTAGGAGCAATCGATTAAGGTGCTCTCCCAACAACTAAGATATAAAATAAATAGCTGACCAATATCATTTTCCATTACTCAGTTAAGTTTTCCGTATGGTGATATTGTCCCACATTATACTAAAGATATAAACACATTCAATTTAGTAATTCTAACTATTTATAAATAGTTATACATACAATACATATAATATTTATGTGAATAAAGCGATCTTTGTATATACTTATCTATTCAGCATTGGAAATTCGCATTAAGGTGTTATTTATTATAACTGAAAACTAATTCGGATTATAGGACACCTTGCAAATGGAGTTGAAATGTCCCTTGAACGCCTGCCAGCTCGCTCCCATCGATTATGGCGAACGTGTTACTTTCCCTATAAGTCGGATAACCATCAATATGTCGCTGTCATGCCACCGACAATGGCTACTTTAAGCTGTCCCTCAAGCCTCAACATGGCTGAGACATACTACATACGCGGCTGTTGCCACTGCTGTCGGTGTTGCCACCGATGCTGCGATGTGTGCAACGAAGCGCTGCGAGATTTGCGGTTTTTTGGCGGCTTGGGTGGGTTGTATAAATTATGCAAGGCACTGGAGATGCCGGCGAGGCTCGCTGCGCTGCTCAATGCGCGTCCACAACATTGGCAGCCGCATGTCATTACGTGCCACAGCCGCAGGAAGGCAGCTATGCAGGGGCAAGTGACAAGGCGGGCTACCCTACCAGAGCCGAGGAACGTTTGACTGGCGTGTGAAAGGCCGCCAGACGTGCCCGAAAAGGGGTGATGGGAGAGTGGGGGGAGCGGTAGATCCCAGATGTCTTGCTTGGCTCTGCTCAGGTGTTAACGCACACGGCCGGAGGGAGGGTGGGGCGGGGCGGGGAGTGGAAACAGGTGAGGTGTGGCTATGCTGCATCTGTCACCTGGCTTGCCGCACAAGCATACACGTCGTATGCGCAATGTTTGTGCATTGGAATTTAATGGAGAAGGGGCATATGGAGCATATGGAAATGCTCGGATGACGCTTGTATTTCCTGCTGCATATCATATTAACATTAGCACACTCTTGGCATTCAAATTTCCGCCCCACTCCGATGACATTATGTATATGCGAAGCCCGTCTCAAGAACCACTCCCCTGAGCCAACATCCAACAGCCAACAGCCCAGCCCCATCATCTTAATTATGCCAATGCCATTTCTTGCAAATATTGTGCAATGGCTCCGCTCCGCTCTGCACTGCTCCGTCTTCTGCAACATCGTTCCGTTCCGTTCCGGAAAACGTGACGCTGACAGGCAGCTGCTCATTAAAATGTTTGGGGCCAATTATTAAGTCAATTGCACGACCAGGAAAGGGGGTGCAGTGCGGTGCCCTGGAGTTTGGGGCGCTGCATCTTATCTGCACGCACAGCAGCACAAACTTAATTAATGGGGCAAGTCAATGGAGGCGGACGGGAAACTGGTCCGCCGGGGATGGGGGCCCACGATAGATGCCACTCATGCTGCCATATCTAAGCCGCAAATGCAGAAGGGGTGCGCTGGCCTGGATTGTATCTCCTTCGATAGGGGTTATTTATCGTCTTGGGTGCGTTATCCTTAAGCGGTTGCGATTAAACGGATGGGAAATCAGCTAAGTTAGAGGCCCGATTTCAAGTTGTTGAGACCACAGAGTGAGTGGCTATGTACTTCGTCTCGTTTGTAATTATGCCACAAGTAATGGCGTTCTCCTTGGTTTAAGGTTCTTTGGGTGTGGTTGGCAAACGAACAAATGGATGGGATATGGACAGAAACCATCTCAGCAGACTGAGACTGTTTCTTGTAACATTTTTTAACCCAACAAAATTACTATTGGAAATATGTAGGCACAGTAACCTATTTGTAATTAGCCCACTTCAGCCCACCTTTTACCTTTCAAGTGCAGTTTCAAACAATATTTGCTTACCAGATACATTTAGCTCATCTTCTCATTGCTCTCATGCAGGAGAAGCCACTGAACTTTCGTTCAATTTTGTTGCACATTCTCGAGTTTCCCCAGTGGTTCGAAAATTCCCCCAGCACACATAATTTATACAATTTTCCATGGCAAGCAGCTCGGTACGGTTTCCTTTGCTTGGATTCGCCCCTAAATTATGTTTATATATTGCCCGATGTTCCTGCGCCCCGCTACGAGACTAGACAAAACCGAAAACGCCCGTTAGACTGAGCAGACAATGCACACAATACACATGTTTTAATGGCAGACAGTTTTTAGACGTGATAATGCAAGTGGAAAATCAGAAAAATATATTGTTGCTGTCCTGCCAGTCACCAGCAGACAACAGGCAAAAGGGGCAAAAAGGGGCAAAAAGGGGCAAGGAAAGCCACACAGAAGCAAGTCGGCAAATAAAAGAATCTACGAGATACATGGGAACGTATGTGCATACGTATGGGAAGGAGTCTTTGCACTTGGTCACAGTCCATGCGTCCCGTCCCCATTCCATTCCACATAACTGTGCAACATAATTTTCATGCTGTCTGCTCTGTGCTCTCCACTTCTTATGCTGGGATAGCTAGTCGTAGCAATGGAATGGAATGATTTCTGTCTGCAGATGTCACATAATTTTAGCTGCGAGAAATGTGTCTCAACTGTCTCGTATGCATGGAAAACTCATTACGAGCAGCTGCGGTCTGGTCAGGGGGGAGCGCGGCTATGCAAGCCCCATATCCACGACAATATCCTGATCCTTAAATAGGTTGTGGCAAATTGGTTTGTTGTCGGCCAATTGAATCGCTATCGATTGGGTGTAGGAGCGCCACCGACAGCCACCGACACCACCGACTGCCGCCTGTAGTTGTACTTTTAATTGCATAACACATATAGCACTACTCGTACTTTCACGCTTGTTGTTGCTTACACTTCACTTCAGTTCACTTGCAACTGGCAACTGGAAACTGGCAACTGGCAACTTGCAACGTGCAACATGCAACTTGGCAGGGCAAAAGTTCACTTTAACAAGTGAACAACTTTCAATGGGCAATTAAAAGGGCATACAAACCGAAGGGGACAACCACCACACCAAGCAATGGAGTTCGAAAGGATAAAGAGTGGATTGGGGCAAGAGCAGGAGGCAGCGAGGCATTCTTGCATGTAGAGTGGCAGGAGGCAGACTATACTATGGCAATGCTGTGGAATGTGGCACGGAGTGGCTACAGTCTTGTGGTGGCTAAGGCAAGGCCCCACCAGCGAGTCACCGAGTCACCGGAAATGTTAACAAAATGCATAGCACAGATTTTGCAAAGTTTTTGCCCCGAAAGGCAATTAAACTTTTGGCAACAACAGGCTCAGAGTTGCACCCGCCGCCACAAGATGGTGACTCCTCGTGTCCTTCAAGGGTGCCTGGCTGCGGCAGGCATCTTGTGCCTCCGCGTCCGGCTATAAATGTTTACTGGCTCCCTCCCACGCAATTATTTATTTTATTAATTTTGATTTTGGATGCTCCTGCAATGCTGGGGCCGAATATTGCCAGTAATTCAGCCTCACTGGACGGCAAACATCATTAAATATTATCGTTTGTGTTCATCACTCAAATAACTTATTAAAGTTTACGCTCAATTCAACCGAAACATCGCCATCAAAATCAGCAAGGAACATGACATACACAGTGTGGAGGGTGTGAGTGTGTTTGTGTGTGTGTGTGTGTGTGTGTCTGGTGGAAAAGTGCATATAAATTGCATATTTATGCACTATAAACATTAATTTACTTGCCATTTAGTTAGACGCACAGTTAATTGAAAACAACAATACCGAGGCTGTGCCACAGCGGCAGCAACAGAAGCAGTTGTGCCAGCAACAGAGTCGACGTCAAATAGGGGCATTGCCACGGAACCCTTCCCACCCTTCCCTTCCCTTCCCTCCACAGTTGCCCCATGCCCAGGCCACATCCACAGCAACAGCGGCAGTGGCAGGGGCAGCCAAAGCAAACATTTTTAAATTATGCAAAAAAGAGGAAAATGCAACGAACAAAAATTGCAGCCATCATTAAATTTGCGTGGAAAGAGAGCAACGATCAACGGTTACAGCGTACAGTGGAGAGGGGGAAAGGAGAGGTTACAAGATGCAGAGAGAGAGAGGAGAGGAGGGAGAGAGGAGAGGAGGGTGGAGTGGAGTGGGTGATGGTAGTAATTCCAAATTTAATTGCAATTAATGTGCAGTAAAGCGGAAGTGCCATAGAAACGGAGCTCTGTGTTGGCCATTGCTGAACGGGCTGGCACTTCCGGCTGGCGCCATGTTGGAGCTTGTCGGATGCGGGGCGTTGCAGTGGGAGGAATGGGTTAACCTGATACGCTGGCTCTGTTTGTAGTGTCAACTAGAAGTGGCTGTTTTTGTTGGGATCAATCCCATTTGGGGGAATGCACTAAAGAGCCCTCGAAATTATGCCAAGGTTTCTGGGTTTCTATCTCGAAGGATGGAACCTCCATGTTTATGCATATATTAGTTCGGCCTGCTTTGAGTTTGGGTCACAGTCGTATATACCCTCAACATGGCAGCCATAAGCCCGTGGTACACATGCTGCAGCACTCGCCAGCGGATGCAAAAAGTAAGAAATCAAGTTTAAAACGAGGCAAAACCAACATGGGTCTGACCGCGTGACACACGAGGCGAGTCCGGAATGGGAATCGGAAGATGGAGGCTGGAGGCTGGAGGCTGGGGGCTGGTGGCTAGTGGCTGGCAGCACCCACCGCTGAGGAGTGGGAGTAGGAGAGGTCCTGGACCTACTGCTACCTGCTGGTAGCATTTACCTGGCGCCGTCGCGAAATTCAATTACTCGTGCACCATAAACCGATTAACTTATATAAATATTTATATCGCTGAAATGCAGTCGCCTGCCAATGGCTTTATGGCCGCTCAATGGGTGTGGTGTGGGGGCGTGCTCGAACTACGGTTTATGGCCGCAATGTGCCCCTGCATATGCAAACACTTTTACCTCACTCGTTGGTCATTGAGAGAAATGCAGCCCTGCCCGTTGACTGCCATAATTCCATTTGCATTTGCATTTGTTACCGTTTATAGTCCACTTAAGTGTTGTCAGGCCTCCTCCTGATAATCACATTCGTCCTCCCGTTCCTATTCAATGCCAACACGCTAGGTGTCGTCCACAGACAAGGACACTTGAGGCCAGAGCAGATACACAGACGGAGGCTGGAAGGCCCACATATCATAACAATGACGACGTGTAGGGGCCCGTC